GCCTGGGCCTGGGCTCGCATCCTCGCGCCCTAAAGACCTAGTGTTTATAGAGAAGCAGCGCTCTACCTATGTCGATCTTCCGTCCCGGGCCCTGCCAGTGACCCGCTGGGAAGTAAGATCCGCTGATCTTTCTAACAAAAGCGTCTCTTTGTTAGCATCAGCGAGAAACCCACGTGTGACAAGCAGACCGGGCTGGGAAGGCACCGGGGACTCCCACCTGCGCGGACCTGTGCTGGTGCCGAAGGGGTGTGCCGGCTTCCTTCCACCCGCGTGAGCAGGCGGGAGAAGACCCAAAGCGAATGGCCCCTTCGAATGCGGGAACCAGGAAAGGCCTGTGTGGGCCCAGGGGCACCCCAGGAGGCTGGAGAGAAGCAGGCTCCTTGCCCATCGAGGCCCCACAGAGCTCAGCCTGGCATTGAAGCCGCCAGGGGCCACGTGCCAGCCAGCCAGCCCCCGAGCAGGCAGGACAGCCACCCGGGAGGAAGCAGACTGCAGAGCCAGGATGCAGATGGGCACCTGGGACCCCAGGGTCCAAGCGCCCCCACTCTAGGAGGCACACGGAGCTGCCGGGCGGCGGGGGGAGCCCCCAGGGAGCGGGGAGGGGAGGACACGGCCGCTCTCTGGGTCGTGTGGCTACAGTGACCAAGTGCGAGGGGGCCACTCGGGAATCCCGTCGTACCTGGTCACTGTACCCCACCACCAGCCCGAGATCCTCCTCCCCAGGGACATGCGGGGCACCACACGGAACACGCACACAGCAACAACGCACCACCTACGCTTTAAACATTTCATCTTTTCCTTCAAACCTGCAAGGGAAGAAGGCGTCAGCATTCCACCGCGTTCGCCCCCAAAGCCCGTGCAGAGCCGGCAGTGTGAACGTCTCTGCGTGTCGATTGGAACAAACAGCTAGGAAGCTTTCTAAGGCTGCGGGAGGGGAGCTAGGGGTTTCTGTGCAGCACGTGATCTCGGTGTTACACACGGAGCCTGTCCGCCCCTTTTCAGGGCCGAGGCATCGAGGCGCGGGCTTGGCCGCCGCTGCGGACATTTCACCGCCGAGTTCGTTCTAACGTTTCCAGAGCCGCAGGGGCACTCGAGTTTCAGGTCCACGATGAATGGACCCGAGCATGGGGGTCTAACTCTACTTAACTGGGCACAGCTTAAGGTTTCCGTGTGAGGCCTTCCTCCGCCCGTGAGGGCATCCTCAGCCTCGTTTTGGGGAAGAGATAAACGGTGGGGGGTTGTGGACAGGATGGAACCTTCCAGGCGGGACAGGGCGGAGGCTGATGGAGACGGTGGGCAGGCCCAGGCAACCCACTAGACCCCGCCGTACACATTTCCACTTCACGTTTCATGGAGGGTTTTAGCTACAGGGTAAAAAAACGCGACAGGGGACTGTAAACTGGCAAAGGGGCATGTCTTCCAAACGCCGTGTTGTTGAGCTAACAGCGGGGCGGACAGGGCTGGCTGGGGGACAACTGATGTCTCTGGGCCTCAGTCTTCCCATCTGTAAAATGGGGCAATCCCATCTTGATGGGTTTTTGTGAGGATTAAATGGACCAGGTCATTGACTTCCAAATGGAGAACACGGTCTGTCACCGGGGTTGGTAGGAGGAAGGGGGAAGGAGGGGGGAGGGAGGGGAAGGAGGTCCTATCATCTCGGTCACTGCTGCGTGGCCACACTGGGGCTGCCCGTGGGCGAGCAGGAGCCCAGGAGGCACGCGGTGACCGCGCGAGCGACCTACCTCCGTTGGCCAGGAGGTTCTCCTGGACCTTGCCCTTGGCGTCCTCCATGACCTCCACCACGCTCTGGGCCATTCTCTTTATGAGGCTGTGGGAACAGAACGAAGGGCCGCTCAGAGCCGGACGCTGCCCCCCAAGTCCTCTCCACCTCCGGTGGCGGGGAAAGGAGTGGGGCCGCCCTGGGGGACTCATCTGGCAACTGCAGGAAGGCGCCGCACGTGCTCAGGGCCTCTGAGCCCGAATTTCCACTTCTGGGAAACGAGCTTAAGGAAACGGACAGAGAGAAAAAGGCTGATCCATTAGAATTTCAGCATAAGAAGCTGATCGGCCCTGCTCTGTGGGTGATAGAGGGCGGCGCCCCAACCCCCTGGTGGGCCCTGCTCTGTGCGTGAGACTGCGGAAGGGCCGGTGCCTGCAGCCAGCCCACCGCCCGGCAGCCCCTGCAGACGCGGCTGCACAGTTTCTGCTGTTGTGGAGCCGGGCGTGTATTGTCACGCTGCATGGAAAACAAACCAGAATCAAACGCACAAGGAAAGTGGGGTGCCACAGTGGGAGCTGATCTTCCTGCGTCAGCTCTTTTCTAGAACCATCGGGCATCGCCGCTGGAATGGGGAACGGGAACCTCGGAGTCTCCAGAAGGTCCCCCGGGGCTCAGACAGCATCTGGGGCAGGAGGACTCCCTCAGCAGGGCTCTGCCTGCGGCCAGGGTGAGGTCTGGGCCGCATTCATCTCATCCCTCTGAGCCGCAGTCCTCTTAGGTGCCAGGCGTGGACCTCACCCATTTGGCAGGACTCTGATGCCCATGAATAGAACCAGCCGGGCGTCGAGCGTGTAAGAGCAGAGTGTCCACTCCTGGAGGCTGATCCATTAGAATTTCAGCTGGAAAACTCGCCAAACCAGGATCAGGGGCTGCAAGCTCTGATGGTCCAGGTCTTTGCCTCAGGCCCTCTCTCCTGACTCCCAGCCGCCAGGCCATGGGGGGGGGGGGGG